TAAATAGGCACAGAGCAGTTTTTTTTTTCCTTCTCTTGCTATTAACCCTGTTGAGGCATTTCCCTTTTTTTTTTCTCGCGGGGAGGGCCCTTTAGATGCGGTAATTGCTCTAATTTTGCGTGTGAGAGAGTGCTTGGCGGATATAACAGTGTTCTATGGATTGCCTGGGATTCGGCACTAACCTTCCTACTTTGTGCGCCTCAGTTCAGTTAAACCAGATAGGTAAATATGTAGCTAGCTAAGCCGGATTAATCATAAACAATTCGATCATACAAACTCACCTAGGTACATGTATGTATCCTATCAAACAAACCTATCAAACGAGAAAAGAAAATCCCCGCAAAACGAACGTAGGTAGGTACAGGGCGGACGGCCCACCATAGAGTAGATCTCTCTCGCTTCCACGCACAGCAGCAGTTCATCCAAACAAACCACAACCCCGTCTATCTATCTGCAAATCTCTCCCAAGCAAGGTACCACCACTATCCCGTCCATTCATCCTGCCGAGCCCCAGGAAACAAACACGCCTCGCAACCGAGAAACAACATCTCTGCCTCCCTCCCCCCCAACCCATGCACCCCCGGCCGGCCCTGGAACAATTAAACAAAACAGAACAAACGGTCGGGATTTCTAGGTCTCGCGGAAAGCCGGGAACTGACTGGCTACTCTAATCGTGCGTCGGCATTCCTCGACTCCGAATTCCGCAGTGCATGTTGTTCCATTGAATTATTGAGCGGTTGCTACTGGCTGCGCTGGAGACGGAGCGTGCCGTTTTGGGTTTTTGCTGTTGACTTGGCGGGCCGCGGTGCACTGGATTAGTAATCGGCACCAGCTTACAGTGAGCTGTAGGTAGCTGTTGTAGCTGGCATTGGATTGGATGGCAGTGGAAGACATAACGCTTCGAGAAACGGCCGGCGCAGTTTACTGCAGATCTAGCTTCTAGCTTGTACATAGCTGTCATGCACGCGAATTGGCATATTCGATCTCGTTAATATTGGCTGCTTATACAGTAGCTACATGTAGTATCTAATAAAGAACCCTACAATTATCAAATTGCAAAAGTAGGTACCACAATCACATACAATAAAGTAGGCAACAAAAAAAAAAAAACCGTTCGTCCGGACCCCCGCTCGCTGCCTGCCTAACGTTCTCTCGATCTCTAGCTCCCCCCAGTTTCATCATCACACAGCTAACAAACCAGGTCGACCACAAATTCCAAAACGATACACGTAGCCAGTTACCGCCGACACTCCTCCTCCTCCTCCTCCTCCTCCACGTATACTGTGTAGGGTGCCGCGCCGGGCGTCTATCCATACAGCACAGCACCCACCCCGCCAGCGAGCAACAACCAGCAAAGCAGACAGCACCGCCACATTGAGGCTCGTTGAAATGTGCTGGCTTTAACGGCTTAGCCACATACTATATCCCTCCTGCTGTACAGCCAGATATTAGAAATCCCAAGCTGCTAGGATATTTGCGCAGGCCAAGCCAAGACAACTGGGAGCCTATCAATTTCATGCACACTCTTTCTTTTCCGCATTGACGGTGGCAATTCGCGATGGGGCAGTTGGTACATGGTTAGATTCGACTGGCACTGGATTGGATTGGCTGGTTTTAATTCGTTTGGTTACGTCGTAGAAATCTAGAATGTTATCTATCTGTAGTACGTTGGCGGTGAGCGGTGTCATTTGATAGCCAGGGCAAGCAAGCAAAGCACCTGTCAGCCCCCGCAGTAAGTAGGAGTAGGGTAGGTAGGCACTGTATTCTCCCGCACCGAGATCGACCGAGGCATAAGATACAGTAGAGTAACAGTAAGTAGATCAGGTAGAAACACCCAAACCCAACCTACCCAATCCAATCTACCCAATCCAATCTACCCACCCAATCCAGGGCAGTCCAGTCCAATCCAGTAGTGGCAAACTTATTGTAAATTCCACACTCAGTAACCCCACCCCCTAGCTACGCCACCCCTCCAAATCTCGGAGGGAGAAGCCAAACTCATGTTCCATGCCACACTCCCGCATATATCTATTGTGAAAAAAAGTAAAGAGAGGAAGCGGGTTACGTTTCATCCCTATGTATATATTCCTGTTTTTTTGTTTTTTTTACTTGTTCCGTTTGTGCGTATACCAGCCTGTAGGTGTATGATGGGCATAGGCCTGGATCATCCACCCCGCATTCCAGTACAGTGTTGCGTTGCGAGTGAGCAGCCGTGACGCAACGCAACACAACGCAACCGTCTCGTCTCGTCTCGTCTCGTCTCGCACGTACCGGCCGAGATCGACCACGGTACGGTGCGGTGCGGTACGACTTTCTTGCGCAATTGATTGATGGCGAGCTCCTCTCAGCTTCCTTCTACATTGTTTCTTTCCTTCCCCTCACACGTATGTAGCTACACTTGTTCCCCTCACTCGATGGTGCACTGTGAAACCAAACAGCTCAACAGCAAGCGAAAAAGCCGTTGGTCCCGCCCAATGAGAAACCCGTGGTGCAAATAAAGAACCAGAACAGGATCGATACTCTTCTTATCGCGAGTGGCTTTCCGGGTGTTGTTTGGGATCGCTTATTTTACATCTCTTTCTCTCTCTCTCGCTCGCTCACCCTTGTATGTAGTTGCGCGTGTGTCACGAGTAACGAAAAGTGTGAGTGAGAGCCCATGTTTCCCTCGCTCGCCAACCAGCCAGCATTAAGCTGTCCCGTTTCGTTTTGTTTCCCCAATTCAATTCCTCGATAGCCGATCCCCACCTTCCACCTCCCACCAGCTAGCCGACCCTGCACCCCCGGCCCCCTCCCGACCGGCGTCGATGTCCCCCACCACCACCACCACCACACCTCCTAACCGCCCGCGGTCTAGACGGACCTCCAGCCAGCCAGCCCGAGTGCCGACGCTGTTGGTATCCCACCCCACCGCCCACCGCCCACCGCCTTATTTCATTCCCGGGGACACCTATAGCAGCGCTGTTATGGGACGTCTGGAACGATCTGGAGTTGTTGGATGGCGCTTTTTTTCCGTGTAGTTCTCCCATGCCAACAGTGTGCCGGTACCGTGTTTTCCCCCCCTGAGGTGGAATGTCTAGAAGGGAGGTTTCTTTTGCACAGCCTTGATTGTGGGCGGTGAGGATTGGCAATTGGGGGTTTGGGGGATATGAGATGATCTGCGGAATTACACTTGGGCAGACGAGTTATCGACTACAGCACTGTACTGTACTTACACCTGTGATGTGGTGGATTACTGCGAGATCTACTATATGTAAGCTGTCTGGTCTGTCTAGATGGGGGAAGAGCAGAGAGATGGATCGGATCCGCTTGGCGTCCGTCCGGATGGAGCGCACCGAAACCGTAAGCTCAATCTCTCCTCTCATATATCTACGTATTTAGATTCGATACATACACCAATCCAATCCAATCTGTACTGGATGGGGGAAGATAGATAAAAATATATTCCATCACCACCACCCGAGACACGGACAATTAATTTCTCTACACTACACTACGCTCGCTCGCTTGCGAGACCTGTATACGTGATATGATCGATCTTACACAAACCCCCCCCCCCCCCCCCATCCCCCCATTCTCCTCATTCTTGCTTGTGACGGATGTACGCCATGGCATTATCAATTCAATTCTAGAGTAGCCGTCTGGCCAAGTGTGAGGAAGGAAGGAGGTGGCAGTGTGAAAACCAGCGAGATGGAGAAAAAAAGAGTGGGAGAGTGGGTGATGATACACCCTACCCTCTCTCTGTAATACCTACGTGAAAGTCCACACTGCTCCAGATCTAGACGTGTCCTTCCAAAAAAGCAATACAATCCAATACAATCCAAGACAGCCTAGTTACCTGACTTTCGATTCGAAAAGAGGTCATGCTGCATACCATACTCTACACTACCCCCCAACGATGATGATCAAGCACGCACTACAACTGCAACTGCAACTGCATTAGAATCTCGGGCTATCGTATTATGATCGCCCACCGGCCGGACGCTACTCGAGTGTGTGCCGACGATACGATACGAGGGCAAGGATGGCAATGGCCACTGGAGGCTGTTTAGGAATATTGGCAAAAGAGGAGCTACTATACTCAGAGGATAGGATAGGATAGGATGGTGCAATAGGATCGTCGCGGAGTTCGAGGGAGATATGCGGTTCACGCTTTCTTTTTTTCCCTTCTTTTTTTTCCCTGATGGTCTAGATCTTGCGTATTGGCGAATAGGGTTATTGCTAGCTCTCCATGTCATGTCCTCGAGATCAATAGAGGAGTAGAGTAGATAGTGTAGAACCTGATCTCCAACGGTCCGATAGGCCGGACAATAACAACAACAAAAAAACTCCACGACGAGGAAGGTATCATGAACCCTCCCCTCCCCCTCCCTCCTCCGGTAAAAAAAAAAAAACCGCCCCCCCCACAGAACCATACAGCCGAGACCGCGGCTGTACCTTCGTTTTTACTCTACTTTTTACTTGCTTACGCTCTCTAGCTCTCGCTCTCGCTAATTCTTGATCTTGATGATCTTGATCAGGAACAGGCACGTCCACGCCTGCTTTTCCGATCCCGCTGTATGTAGGCATGTGGGTATATTATATGCAGCCCTCGATAGATTGAGTGTCTCCAGGTTACGATAGCTGAGATTGGGGGTGAGGGACGGGGAAACAAAACCCCTCATGCGGAGTGTAGGGTTGTAGTGTGTGTAGGGTAGGTGGTGTATGTAGTGTGGTGTAGGTAGGGTACATAGGGTAGGGGAGTGAGGAGTGTAGGGGAGGGATGATGATGGACATCATATGGCCCGTGCATCTACATACTGTATCTTCTCTCTCGAGTACCCTGCCTGCATAGACGTAGATACTAGATAGATACTTGTATCTCAACTCTAGCTCTCTCGCTACACTTTCTGTATCCTCGATACTCCGCATCCACGACGCAGCCAATCGCAAGTATTCAATCCCACTGCACCGCTTCCCCCATCCGACGAAGAAAAGAAAAGAAAAGAAAAAATATCACCAATATGATCCACGCCTATAACTCCGACCCTGCTGCCCTCTCAGCCTATCAGCACGATACGCTGCGGGGACGACTTTCCGAAAATGTTTCGTCAAAGAAGGAGAAGGAGAAGGAGAAGAAGAAGAAGAAGAAGTGGGAAACGGTGGGACTGCATATGCACGCCCACCCACCGCGGCCTAGCGCACGGGAAACCCGCATGCGCGATCCCTCACGTGCGAGTGTCGTGTATGTGTGTGTGTAGTGCGGGTTTTGATTTGATTAGATAGGGAGGGTAGCTCGGCGCTTACCACTCACTCACTCGCTCCTGGACCGTGCGTGCTCGAGAGAGAGAGGAAGGGGAGAAAGCGGTGAAGTGAACGGACGAGCTTCTTCACCGGGCGTCATAAAGTCGCGATCTGGCCCTGGATGTGGGGGGGGGGGGGGGAGGAAGGGTCAGGGGGTGCTGATCATACATGTCACGGATTATAGGTGCACTGGTAGAGTACTGGTAGAGGAGTAGAGTATGTAGATGGACAGCATCCTGGGCTGGGGGGGGGGGGGGGATACTGTAGTGCTGATCACAATCACAATCACAATCACAATGCTCTACAGTAGCTAGCTAGCCTCACGAAGGGGAAGCAATTAACGGCGGTGCTCTAGATCTCGGCCAGCCAGCCAGCTGCAGTCCAGCCCAGTCCATCCAGCCCATCGTCGAGTCCTCACGAAGCTCTCGCTCTAGAACTCGAGCCCATTGAGTAGTCCAGACCTAGCTGTGCGCTCGATCCCCACAGCCAGGGCTTGTTCGTGGGGCAATTGCGCTTGCTTCTGATGGCGTAAAAGTATAAAGAAGGAAGAAAAAGAAAAAGAAAAACACCGTACCATGGTACCGTTCGGTTTCGACCTCTTTTTTGAGTTTTTTGAGTTTTTTTTTCTTTCCCTGAGGAATTGAGTTTGAGGATATTAGGACTAGGATGATCGATATTGCTAGGGGAGGGTGCATGTCAGAAACGGCTCTTACTCTACCCCTCATTCCCCTGTCAGCGTTGATGAAAATCGAATTCAATCTGGCCGACGCATAAAAACACAGTCAGTATTGTAGCTCTTAAGTTGTTACTGCCGAGGAACCTCCAGCCAATCATGCAAGTGGTTGCAATTAATGGTTGCTTCGCATGCGCATTCCTGCGAGGAACGAATAGTACTGCACGACGTCGCCCGGCAATATTATATTATATTAGTAGAATTAATGCTGGAAAGAGAATACATGTATCTTCTCCAATGGCAATGGCTAGCTAGGAAGATGGAGAAGAGGAGAGGAGTAGAGTAGGTATGTAGACTACTATATCGTCGCCACGGCCGGCAATCGGTCGGAGTAGGTAGGTACATGTATGTATGTAGTAGGTTGAATCCTTTCTTCCTGTCCTGCTTGCCTTGTCCCCAAGTTAACAACAATTGCAATCACATACCTAACATACACCCGGACAAGCCAATTAGTCCAATTACCATCCATCATGTACATAAACATAAGTTATGGGCGCGGAAGCACGCACACACGCACGAACGATAAGGATGGATGGATGAGCAGAGCATATTCCTTCGCATGAGCGATATCGATAGGAAGCATGGCCCGCCGCGCATAACATCATCTCATCCCTCCCCTCCACCCATCCATGGTGCCATTCCATAGAGCAGGTAGTACAGGCTCGCAAGGCCACAAGCGAGAATTAAGCTTGCTGCGCAGGCCGCCATTGGAGGGGGAGCGCGGAATGGCACAGCAGTTCTGTTATATGGGAGGGGGTTCGTTTCGTTTCGTGTTGTATAATGATGTGGTGGATATAATCATATCAGATCAACAGTGGGTTAATTAAACATTAATAATTTATGGGTTATGGGCACGTGTGTGTGTGTGTGTGTGTGTGTGTGTAATACTGTGTGATACTGAGTGAGTGTGAGTGGATCGAACTACCTACTCTATGTACTCTGGCAGAGCACAATTGACAGAACAGCATGTCTACCGTCCACCCATTCGCTGGAGCTCTGCTACTCTCAGTATAACTGATGAGAAGGTACATCCGACCTTGTACGACCAGACAAAACAGATCACACCCGGATGTTCCACAACCCCCCCCCCCCCCCCCCCCAGAAACAAAAAAAGAAGGCGGCGGCGAGAAAAGCTAGCTAGCTCGCGAGATAAAAAAAACAAAAACCCCGGTTGAGCGCACAAAAAAGCCCGGCCAGGATGCGGCGTTTGAGGAATTTCATAACGGTTTTGCAAATGCTCTAGCTAGAGTAGCTAGCTGCATGCAAGGAATAACACTCGCGAGAACGTATAACCAGGGATTCACACACGCATCCAACGTTGGTTCATCATCAGTGATCTGATCTGATCGGGAGGGTGTGAGAAAGAAAAAAAAACACCTCCTCATTGCATGTCATCCCTCAATATCGTCATCAATCACCAACCCCCCCCCCCCACACACACGTGAGGGAGATATTTTACAGTAGGTGGGCAGAGTACTACTACTACTACATAGAGTGTGCGGAAGGGGGGGGAAAACAATCGACCACGCGTGCTCGGTAATTTTGTTTATTGCGTTGTTTGTGAAATGAAAATTAAAAGCGTGGGGCACGGCGGCGGCCAACCAACCAACGTGTTACAATTGCAGTATACAGTAGTAGTAACGGTAGCACTACTACTACATGTACTATGGGAGCTACATATCTGATACCGGATTACACGCTCAGTGCCAGAGTACCTACATGACCATATATACACTTTCAATTCCAGAGTGGCTATTGCATGCGGGCGCCCACCGCTCTGCTCTCGCTCGCTCGTGGTCGCTTAATGCTTTTCTGGTCGGCGGTAATCAATCGCTGCTCTTTTTCGCGTCGGCATCCGGGGAAGAGGCATAGCTAGCATAACATACGGTACGGTGTTTAGTTTAAATTTTTTTTTTTTTTTGTTGGGTCAATTGATTATATCATGGGGGAGGGAGGCGCCGGCGTCCCTGGCGCGGGGGGGGGGGGGTCGTGACATGACTCGTGATGGCATGAGAAGTGAGTACGTCCCGGATATGCATTACAGTAGCCGTAGGGTTTTTCACTTTCCATGACCCAGCCAGCTAGGTAGGCATGGAGGAGCAGCAGAAAAGAATAGTAAATAATAATAAATATGGTAATTCATGTCGACATCCCCGAACCACCCATTCCCCCTCAAACACGGGCATATCCACCCATCGCAGCGCATAGCCGTGGAGATATAATTCGGGCTGGCCGTACCGTACCGCGTGTAGAGTAGAGTACCTACTGTATGTATGTACGTCGATGGATGATGGCGCCGAAAGAAGAGCATAGCACATGGTATGATCGGATTGATGATGACAATGTACATCTCTAGCGCAGCGTACGCTACACGCGTGCCCAATGGCATAAGCTGCTGCTACTCTACTTGAGGGAGGTTCAGTTCAGCGTGCGGCGAAGTGGACCTTGAAACCTCTGCTGCTACTCTACTAGCTTTTTCTTCTTCTTTTTTTTCCAATCTGACAGATAGACGTACGGCGGGCAGATTCGGCTAATCTACGGTATGTAATCTACATACATGCCATGTATCCACGGCAATTGCATTACTCCAGGGCAGGCGGCCAGGGGGGGCGCAGAGCAGAGGGAGCAAGCAATAATTAAGCAAGCAGGATGACGATCATAAAAGCGACGAGACGAGACGAGCGAGCGAAAGCTTGGACGCATAGTGGCCGTGCGCAACCATTGCGCAAGGCCTGGCTAGTAGAGTAGACAGGCCCAGGAATGTAGCGTAATAGTAGTAGACAGCTCATGAAGCCCAATAATTCGAAACGTCTAACCTTCAATTGATCTCCAGGAGGTCATGGAAGGAATTCTAGATTCACGAACAGCTCGAGCTCTAGAGCCCCCCCTTCACGCGCTCTAGCCCTATGGACCCGTCCGTACCCGTACCAAGGAACTACAACGATATTTGATGGGCGGCGGCGGTGTGGAAAATAAGGATTAAGGGAGACGAAGGCTAGATAGATATCCGTAGCTGCTGCTGTTAGTATCACGTCCAGACGTAACTTATCGATGACACGACGACACACACCTTTTTTATTTCCTTTTTTTCCTTTTCGGCTGTCTTTCTCTAAGTATATGTATGCATATTTTCTTTTTTTCTTCCTGTCTCTTGTCGAATATCTTTTTTTGCTTTTCTTCTTTCGTCGCTCTATTTTTCGGCCCGAAAGATGGTTGAGAATAGACAGACGTCGACCAGGGGTAGGTGGGTGTGCAAGCTGAGAGAGCGAAGGATGGTGTGCTGAATCCGAAAGGGCATGCTCCCAAAGTAGAAACGGCTGCCCCCATAAATCGCTAAGAGATCCAAATCGCCCACAGTCGCCCTTCCAATCTGGGACAGCGTGCACCACTTTTTTAGGACCAGCCCTGTGCTTGCTGCTTGCTGTGTGTGTGTGGTATGTGTGCAGGCAGGTGCAAAAAAGTACCCTACAGTGCTTCTTATTTTAGAATCTGCCTATTTTTTTTGCTCTTCTTCCATGGTCACCACCCATCTCTATTCGTAGAGTCTCTCATGTAGGTACTTAACCTACCCTGGGATATCGATCATAATTAGGGATGACAGCCCAACCAACCACCACCATCCACCACCTCCAGGAGTAGGAGCAGGCAGAATGTGGCCGTTCATGCGGTGGGCGCGTATGTGTGATATGCGAGAGCGCTTCTGCTCCGTCACCCAACCACCTACCCATGTCACCATGTATATACTTATGTGCACTAACTAAGAGTTGGGCGGGCGGGGGGAGAGGATACGTAGTGTAGGCAGAGAAGGAGGAGGAGGAAGAGATACATGACCCAAAAACAACAGCTGTTGGTTTGGTGGGCCCGGGTTGCAGGCAGAGTATTCTCGTGCTGCCCAACCACTGGTAGAGGAAAGGATATTGGTGATGAGGAAGAGGATGAGTGACGGCCTGGGATCAAGCAAGCAGGAAATAGAGTATTTTATTATTTTTTATTTTTTAAAATTCCTACTCCTACTAGGAAGAAGTGAGTTGGAGTACGCAGAATATGGGAGGGAGTAACATAACACTTCGGAAACGTTAAATCCGTCAAAGAGTCAAGTACGCAGAATCGGTTTAGTTGGATCTTTTCTTTCCTTCTGATTTGCATTCTGATGTCTGGACTGGTTTGATTCTCGCTAGAGAAATCGCCAAATAATTTCCCACACACACCCACCCCAATCTCCAT